GGGTCTGTACTGCTGGTCTAGGGTCTGTACTGCTGGTCTAGGGTCTGTACTACTGACCTTATGTTTCATGGTGACAGAGTCCCAGGACATGTCGATGCTTTTGATTGGTCCAAATGGAGCGAAGGCCTGTCTGATGGTGTCCTCTCCCAGCTCGTAGTAGATGGAGCCGACGTAGACTCGGCACATGATGGCCAGAGCTCTCTGACGCTGGGCCGCCACCTGAACGCAGACAGGAAGTCACAGTTCAGAACGTCACCTGTGACCTGTAACCTGCTACCAGTGACCTGTAACCTGGGACCTGTAACCTGCTACCAGTGACCTGTAACCTGTAACATTTCACCTGTGACATGAGACCTAAACCTGTGACCTGTAACCTGTAACATTTCACCTGTGACATGTGACATGAACCTGTGACCTGTGACCTGTAACCGGGGACCTGTAACCTGGGACCTGTAACCGGGGACCTGTAACCTGGGACCTGTAACCTGTGACGTGGGACCTGTAACCTGGGACCTGTAATCTGAGACCTGTGACGTGTAACCTGAGACCTGGGACCTGTAATCTGGGACCTGTAACATTTTATCTGTGACATGTGACATGAACCTGTGACCTGGGACCTGTGACCTGTAACCCGGGACCTGTAACCTGGGACCTGTAACCTGAGACCTGTGACCTGTAACCTGAGACCTGTAACCCGGGACCTGTAACCTGGGACCTGTGACCTGTAACCTGGGACCTGAGACCTGGGACCTGTAACCTGAGACCTGTGACCTGTAACCTGAGACCTGTGACCTGTAACCTGAGACCTGGGACCTGTAACCTGAGACCTGTAACCTGGGACCTGAGACCTGGGACCTGTGACATGAGACCTGTAACCTGTGACATGTGACCTGAGCCTGCCATGTCTGACCTGGGACCTGTAACCTGTAACCCAGGATCCCCATTAGCTACAGCAGGGCTGCAGATACTCTTCCTGGGGTCTGCCAACATTTTAAAATAACAGTAGAAATCAAAACACAACAAAAACGAACCAAAAAGGCTCCAATAAATAACAGAAAATACCAAATGCAAAAATACTCAGCAAATCATGAAAGGAGAAAATTACAAATAACCTGTGACCTGTAACCTGTGACCTGTAATCTGTGACCTGCGACGGACAGACGTGCAATAGATGTCGTACAGAGCAGATCAACATAATAAATTGGTGTGATGTGATTGGTTGTCAGAGAGTTGTTTCTGTCCCTGTCCAAATGTCCTGTGCAATGTGTGTATGTGTATGTGCTATGATGTCTGTTCTGTTCTGTGTGTCGGTCAAACTGTTGTGGTGCTGTTGAAAAGAATTTCCCCTCTGGGGACAATAAAGTCTAAAGTCTAAAGACACGCCCCTCTGTGAGCCTGTAAAGTGTGATGTGATTGGTTGTCACACACACACACATACACACACACACACACACACACACACACAGATGAATGAAGAGCAGAGCTGTGACATCCTCACGCTGACCTCTGACCTCTGACCTCTGACCCTGATGTTTATCAGACTGAACTAAAGGAGCTGCAGATGCCATGTGACGTGCTCCTGGTGACCACGTTACTCTACAGTGACGCTGGGAGTCAAACACACGATGATGATGATGATGATGATGAAGGCTACATCACTGACAAGCTGAAACTTCATTAATCACCCTCAGTGTCGTCATGATGACACCGTGATGTCACACAGATGCATTGTGGAAATGGTAGATGGCTCCACTTACTGACTGAAGAGGAGACAGAGCGTCGCCCAGACCCATGGACAGAGACGCCATCTGAGAGACACACACACACAGAGAGAGAGCGTCCATCGCTGGGATGCTGTTGTCATGGTGTGATGGCGGTGTGATGGCGGTATGATGGCGTTACCTGCAGGCTGCTGAGCTGCTGCGTCTGTCTGAGGAGAACACTGTTGATGCTCTGCTCCATGCAGTACTTCTTTGCCTGCAGACAGGAAGCAGCCAATCATGGCTCGCCGTATACACACACACACCACATGTATACAGTGTGTGTGTGTGTGTGTGTGTTACCTTCTGCAGCGCCTCCTGCTGGTTGGGGGTGAGAGGCGGCAGGCCCAGCTTGGTGGTGGTGCTCTGTCCGTTCTCCATGATGAGAGCCGGCCCTCCCTGTTCACACGCCGACAGGTGAACAAAACAAACGCACCCTCAGGTACCTGAGTCCAGCCCTGCGTTCCAATACCCATACTACCATACTATTTAGTATGCCAGAAAAAGAATTAGTGTGTCCCAATACATAGTATGTCAGATGCAGTATGCCAAAAGTACCAGGATGTTCTACTACATCCGGTCACATTTCGCAGTATGCATGTCAGCATGCTTCTTTGGCCATTCTGACCCACAATCCTTTGTGCAGCGGAAGTTACGTCACACTGACTGAGCTGCGTGTACAACCAACGCCCACACTTCCTTTCATACATGGTTTATTTCATTTGAGATACTAAGACACTACATATTAGGACTGCATTGATCTGATTATATACTGTCACATATCATACAGTTTTGCAAGAACACAGATACAACATTCAACTTTACTGTGATTATAGTATAATCAATGTTAGGGTTCAACTATGACTACAGTATAGAAGATTCTACCAGTACAGGCAGTGGTGTAAGTGTGGTATAAATAATGAATGAATATGACTAAATATGAATACACTATGGGCCAGGTATGAGCAGTATAGACTAGTAAATATATGAATACATATTAAGTAATGTAGTAAGAATGTGCAGGTATGTTACACTACAAATAAAAGTAATGTGAATGTAAGGCTGCTTCACGTGCAGACAGAATATAGTGCCAGCAGCTGCACAGCTGTAAATATATTCAACAACACACATCTGCCAGCAACAGAGAGCTGTGTGTGAAGGGGTTAATGTGCCTACTGGTGACTAGTTCAATAGACAGGTCACTAATAATAGGCTTGGGACTGTTTATTAGAAACAACAACATACATGACGACATAACAGCAACAGAGCTCTCCGGCACCTCCGACGGTATGCACGACTCTGGCGAGCTCGACGAGAGGAGATTTGCTGCATCTCCGAAGTACAACAACATAAAATATTCAAATGTGGCGCTATGGACGGCGGCGGAAGTGAGCAAGAGGGTCGGAGTTCAGGGTGGATGTGATGGCGGATGTAGTGTGTCCCAATAGTCTGCACACTGCATACTACACTGCATACTTTTTAAGGGCAGCTGCAGTACATACTAAAAGTATATAGTAGAAGTATGCGGTTTGGAACGCAGGGCAGGTGAACCTCCTCTACTGTGTCTCCTCTCAGCTTCTACTAGCTTCTATTAGCTTCTACTAGCTTCTATTAGCTTCAACTAGCTTCTATTAGCTTCTACTAGCTTCTGTTAGCTTCTATTAACTTCTACTAGCTTCTATTAGCTTCTACTAGCTTCTGTTAGCTTCTACTAGCTTCTATTAACCTCTACTGTGTCTCCTCTCAGCTTCTACTAGCTTCTATTAGCTTCTACTAGCTTCTGTTAGCTTCTACTAGCTTCTATTAACCTCTACTAGCTTCTATTAGCTTGTACTAGCTTCTATTAGGGCTGCCACTAACGATTATTTTCATTGTCGACTAATCTGTCGATTATTTCTTCGATTAGTCGACTAATCATTTCATCAAAAAATGTGTTAAAATGTTGAAAAATGTCGGTCTGTCTCGCCCAAACCCCAAAATTACATCACCTAATGTCTTGTTTCATACTCACGCCAAAGGGTTTTAGTTCACTGTCACGGGAGAGTGTGTAAAGCTGCCAATATGTGAACGTAAGAGTATTTTGGGTACTTTTATAGTACTTTTCTATGAAAAATAACTCAAACCGATTAGTCGACTACTAAAATAGTCACCGATTATTTTAATAGTCGATCAGTCATCGATTAGTCGACTAATTGTGGCAGCCCTAGCTTCTATTAGCTTCTAATGGCTTATGTTAGCTTCTACTAGCTTCTATTAGCTTCAACTAGCTTGTACTAGCTTATATTAGCTTGTACTAGCTTCTGTTAACTTCTACTAGCTTGTACTAGCTTCTATTAGCTTCCACTAGCTTCTGTTAACGTCTACTAGCTTCTAATAACTTCTACTAGCTTCTATTAGCTTCAACTAGCTTCTGTTAGCTTGTACTAGCTTCTATTAGCTTTTACTAGCTTCTACTAACTCGTACTAGCTTCTGTTAACCTCTACTAACTTCTATTAGCTTGTACTAGCTTCTGTTAACTTCTACTAGCTTCTATTAATTTTACTAGCTTCTATTAACTTTACTAGCTTCTACTAGCTTGTACTAGCTTCTGTTAACCTCTACTAGCTTCTATTAGCTTCTACTAGCTTCTAGTCGCTTGTACTAGCTTCTATTGACCTCTACTAGCTTCTATTAGCTTGTACTAGCTTGTATTAGCTTCTGTTAACCTCTACTAGCTTGTACTAGCTTCTATTAGCTTTTACTAGCTTCTATTAGCTTATATTAACCTCTACTAGCTTGTACTAATGTTTATTAGCTTTTACGAGCTTCTACTAACTCGTACTAGCTTCTGTTAACCTCTACTAACTTCTATTAGCTTGTACCAGCTTCTGTTAACTTCTACTAGCTTCTATTAACTTTACTAGCTTCTACTAGCTCGTACTAGCTTCTGTTAACCTCTACTAGCTTCTATTAGCTTCTACTAGCTTCTAGTCGCTTGTACTAGCTTCTATTAACCTCTACTAGCTTCTATTAGCTTGTATTAGCTTCTGTTAACTTCTACTAGCTTGTACTAGCTTCTATTAGCTTTTACTAGCTTCTACTAGCTTATATTAACCTCTACTAGCTTGTACTAATGTTTATTAGCTTTTACGAGCTTCTATTGACTTCTACTTGCTTCTACTAGCTTCTATTAGCTTGTACTAGCTTCTATTAGCTTTTACAATCTTCTATTAGCTTGTACTCGCTTGTATTAGCTTGTACTAGCTTCTGTTAACTTCTACTAGCTTCTATTAGCTTTACTAGCTTCTATTAACCTCTACTAGATTCTACTAGCTTCAACTAGCTTCTATTAACCTCTACTAGCTTCTACTAGATTCTACTAGCTTCTATTAGCTTTTACTAGCTTCTACTAACCTCACCTAGCTTGTACTAGCTTTTATTAGCTGACTTCTGTTTTTTTTTTCACTTTTTTTCACTCTTTTTTCACAATTATTTTTATTAGTTTCTGTTATTTTTATTTTGCAGACACATATAAATGTATAAATCAGTCTTCTCGTGTTATTTAACTGATGATTGTGTCTGATTGGTTTAATTCATTTAGCCTGTGTTTTGGTGATTTATGAAACAAGCTGCTTCACGTCAGTTAGCATTAGCATTAGCTCAGCATGTCTCCATCATCAACAGAAAGAAACGTTTGAATTTTTCTCACCGCGGAAACGGTCACCGCCATGCAGCTGTCTCTCTGAGCTCCTCTCTGTCTCTGCTCCGGGATCAAAAACACAGCTCATACATTTTATATTTTTATTTTCATATTTAGATTTTTGTTGTTAGTCTCAGCTCTCCGACTTGCAGCGGCACTTCCGCCTAAGTCACATCCTCTTGGAGGGGCTTCAAAATAAAAGAGCGGCTAACGTTTCAGTCTGCAGACTTAAGGACAAAAACTAATTGTTTTATTCATAAAATATAGTATTTAATTCATTCATACATCGGCGAGTTGTCAGAGCAACAAAGACGTGATGAAGCAATAAATAAAAACATTAACCATCTCAATTAATTAAATTGATGTTAATTAAATGTTTTGTCTTCATCACTAACTGAGGAACAGATGGGTCAGAGTCAGTCTGACCCATCTGTTCCTCAGTCAGAATAAAATAAATGTCACTTTTTATCAATGTTTAAAATTTCAATTTCATGTTTCAAACTATGTGATTTAAAAATATATTTGACAGATAAAGTCAGTGAGTCACACAGGAGTGTGTTTGTTTATTTGTTCGTGCTACAGATGTGATAATTTTATATTTTACACATTAAATGAACCCTTCAGCAGGTGGAACTCAAAAGCAATCTCATCATTTATTTATTCTGATGAAACAATATCTTTTGTTGTGTTGAAAGCTGTTAAGTTTCATTGAGTTTTTAATGATTGATCGATTATAAATGTATTGATGAGTTTTTGTGACTTTATTAAAACATTTCAATCATGAAGCAGAACACACATATACACATTTTTATTTAATTATTACAGATGATATGAGTGTGTAACTGATCGGTAATTAATCAATATCTGATCAGCAGACTGCAGCTGCTTCCATCCACCACATGCTAATATTAGCTTTACATTAGCATCCCTCTTCATTCAGTCTACCAACAGCAGTTACCATGCCGACAGTGATGATGATGAAGATGGAGACTGAGCTAGTCTCCAGGACATTCAGATCAGTGCTGACGATCAATAACTGAGTCAGACTGTGATCAGATCTGCAGCGTTCATCCTTCAGCAGCTGAGGGTTCTAAGGAGAACTCGGTGCTCACTGAGTTGACGCCTGATGACCTCAGAGTTTCTTTTTCCTCCATCTGAAGGTCACCTGTAACGCTCTGTCATCGCTTCGTTCGTCATCTGCTGGAACCAGAAAACAGAGAAGAGGAACCGGCTGCTGCAGAGATGGATCCAGAACCTACACATACAGAAAGGTTCTTAAATGGTTCTACTGCTCAGAGTTTAAGTAAAAGTTTTTCAAGTTTATCTGTTAAGATCTCCATCAAAGCACAGCTCGTGTTCCTGCTGATGTAGAACCCTTCAATGTAGTACGGATTCGAGAGCAAAGAAAGGTTCTGTGGTTTTGTGCAGAGAAATGCTGATCTCAGTGACAGGGTTCTTCAGTTCAGATGTTACGGTGAAGACGTGTTGTAGTAGAAGCTGACTGCAGAACACCAGGAACAGAACTTTCTCTGCTTTGGAGTGAAAGTTATCCATTAAATAAAAGTGGGTTCTGTTGGTCAGGGTAGGTTCTAGATTTGTTACTGTAGGACACTTAGACACTGTGTGTTCTGTGAATGACTGAGAAACCTGCTCTGGAACAAAATGTTTAACGTCAGGAGATTTGTAAAGTTTAGAAATGATTAAGAACTTGATGTCAGGGTTCTGTGAGTGTGGAACAGAGGGGTCGGGTGGTTTAAATCTTTCTTCCTAATGACGGTTTTAGAAGTCTGCTGTTCTAGAACCTGATAATGGAGTGAACGCTTTTGAGGGTTCTACAACAGTTTCATTCTAGAACATTTCTGTGTAGAGTTCCTCTGTGCAACAGTTCATAAGGTCAGAGCTGAGTGAAGGTTCAAGAACTATGAACAAGGTTTGACGTTATTAGCAGAATGGTGAGTGCAGAACTCCAGAGAACTCTCAATAAGCAAAGTTCTAGACGTATTTGAAAGGGTCAGATGGGGTACAGAATGATGAGAGAACCCAGACATCCAACAGAATGCTTGAGAACATTACAGGGTGAAGGTTTGGTGTTTATTCTGGGAGTCAGTGAGGAGGTTCTAGACCTTCAGACAGACGGTACTTCAGAGAATGTGACATCGACGGGTCCGTATTTGGGTGTTCAGCCATCCGCCTGAAGGTTCTAGAAGGGCATTCCTCCAGAGATCTGGCGGGCCACCTGCTCATCCTGGCTCTCCTCCTTGTCCTTCCTCTCCTGGTTCCAGTCCTTCAGACCCTCCGGCAGCGTCGTGTCCTCGTCCACGCTTCCGGTTCCCTCCACAAACTCCTCATAGGTCGACTTCTCAGCAAACGGACGTTTGCCCAGCAGCTCCACCATGTCGCTCTTATCCAGAACCTCCTTCTCCAGCAGCCTCAGCGCCACCTGCAGGAACACAAAGAACATTGTGAGAACTCTGTATGAAGCATAACGTTTTAAAGTTCTACACTGGAACGATTGTAGAGTTCTCCACACAGGAATGTTCAAGAACTCAAAGACAGGGTCCTATAGGGAAGGACTTCATGAGAAAGGGATTTGTTGCTCAGGTAGAGGAAAATCAGAAGGGGAACACTGTAGAAACATGAGTGAGCGGGGAACTAAGTAAAGGTTTTCGGCAGAACTCAACAGTAACATCTCTTTCCAGAAATGTTCTGAAACTCAGTGTGAAAGCTCAAGCAGGTTCTACAGGCTCTTTTCCACCGTAGAGTTCTCTAAGTAAGAACTGGTTCTATTAATTATGTAGGTATGATGTAGACTGTAGAACACCAGATGGAGAACATCCCAGAAATGTGTGTGTTCTGTGAATGACCCAGAACCCTGCATTCGAAGATTTGTTGAGTCTCGGCACAGAAATGTTGTAGAACTCAGTTTCAGGGTTCTGCGAGTCAGTGTCAGGTTAATCTGTTGTAACAGTGGAACACAAAAGAGTAGATGCAGAAGGTCCTATAAGTATGTGCGTGCTAAGAAACTGAACCCTGCTTGTCTCGGTTCCACCACTATTCTCTTCTCTCACATGTATCTACAACCTGGTCTGGAACAAAGAACACTGTGAGAACCCGTCAGAGGTTCTTACAGGTGAGCTAAATCAGTGGTACCTTCTCCACCTCAGCCTTCTTGTCGCTCAGCAGGTGGTGGGTTCTCTGGTGCGCCTCGGTGATGAGGGTTCTGACCTCGGTGTCGATGAGACGAGCCGTGGCTTCGCTGTACGGTTTCTCCAGAACCATCTCACCCTGTCGCGGCAGGTCGAAGGACACCTGACCCACCTTCGCGTTCATCCCGAACTGAACAATCTGCCGCAGAACACACACACATAAAAACACAACAGAACGTTTCATCGGCGTCAGAACCCTCAGCTCTCAGGTGTCCGACCGCTGATGAACCTGCTTCCTGTTTCCTTTTTGCTCTGTGTTTAATCACACCGAGCTGAATGATGTGTGAGCAGCTGCTGCTCTGTGTGACCTGTGTGACCTCTGACCTGTGCGTAGGCGCTGTGTGACCTGTGTGACCTGTGTGACCTCTGACCTGTGCGTAGGCGCTGTGTGACCTGTGTGACCTTTGACCTGTGCGTAGGCGCTGTGTGTGACCTGTGTGACCTCTGACCTGTGCGTAGGCGCTGTGTGACCTGTGTGACCTGTGTGACCTCTGACCTGTGCGTAGGCGCTGTGTGACCTGTGTGACCTTTGACCTGTGCGTAGGCGCTGTGTGTGACCTGTGTGACCTCTGACCTGTGCGTAGGCGCTGTGTGACCTGTGTGACCTCTGACCTGTGCGTAGGCGCTGTGTGTGACCTGTGTGACCTCTGACCTGTGCGTAGGCGCTGTGTGACCTCTGATCTGTGCGTAGGCATTGTGTGTGACGTGTGTGACCTCTGACCTGTGCGTAGGCGCTGTGTGTGACCTGTGTGACCTCTGACCTGTGCGTAGGCGCTGTGTGACCTGTGTGACCTGTGTGACCTCTGACCTGTGCGTAGGCGCTGTGTGACCTGTGTGACCTTTGACCTGTGCGTAGGCGCTGTGTGTGACCTGTGTGACCTCTGACCTGTGCGTAGGCGCTGTGTGACCTGTGTGACCTCTGTGACCTCTGACCTGTGCGTAGGCGCTGTGTGACCTGTGTGACCTTTGACCTGTGCGTAGGCGCTGTGTGTGACCTGTGTGACCTCTGACCTGTGCGTAGGCGCTGTGTGTGCTGTGTGACCTGTGTGACCTCTGACCTGTGCGTAGGCGCTGTGTGACCTGTGTGACCTGTGTGACCTCTGACCTGTGCGTAGGCGCTGTGTGACCTGTGTGACCTGTGAGACCTCTGACCTGTGCGTAGGCGCTGTGTGACCTGTGTGACCTTTGACCTGTGCGTAGGCGCTGTGTGTGACCTGTGTGACCTCTGACCTGTGCGTAGGCGCTGTGTGACCTCTGATCTGTGCGTAGGCATTGTGTGTGACGTGTGTGACCTCTGACCTGTGCGTAGGCGCTGTGTGTGACCTGTGTGACCTCTGACCTGTGCGCAGGCGCTGTGTGTGACCTGTGTGACCTCTGACCTGTGCGCAGGCGCTGTGTGTGACCTGTGTGACCTCTGACCTGTGCGTAGGCATTGTGTGTGACGTGTGTGACCTCTGACCTGTGCGTAGGTGCTGTGTGACCTCTGACCTGTGCGTAGGCGCTCTGTGTGACCTGTGTGACCTCTGATCTGTGCGTAGGTGCTGTGTGACCTGTGACCTGTGCGTAGGCGCTGTGTGACCTGTGACCTGTGCGTAGGTGCTGTGTGTGACCTGTGTGACCTGTGACCTGTGCGTAGGTGCTGTGTGTGACCTGTGACCTGTGCGTAGGCGCTGTGTGTGACCTGTGACCTGTGCATAGGCGCTGTGTGTGACCTGTGTGACCTCTGACCTGTGCATAGGCGCTGTGTGTGACCTGTGTGACCTCTGACCTGTGCGTAGGCGCTCTGTGTGACCTGTGTGACCTCTGACCTGTGCGTAGGCGCTCTGTGTGACCTTGCGGAGGTCGTCCTGAGCTCCAGTGGTGATGCGTCCGAAGAAGATCTCCTCGGACACTCGGCCTCCGAGGGTCATGCACATGCGGTCCATCAGCTGCTCTCTGGTGTACAGGTACTGCTCTTTGGGCAGGTACTGAGCGTAACCCAGGCCCTTCCCTCTGGGGATGATGGACACCTGCACAGGTAACAACAACAACGATAACATGAAAGCATCATGGGAGCTGGCGCTCCTGAAGCTAACTCCACTTCCTGCCTGTCACAGCGTGGAGAACGTAAACAGAGTCGGAGGTCCTGATGAGTTTTTATTTAACTTCATGTTGACTGTTAAAATCAAGGATCAACTACGACTCCCAGGGTGCATTTCACTGACAAACATCTGCTTTACATCTGTCTCCCCCTCCTCTGCAGCAACAGCAGCAGCAGCAGCAGCAGCTGAGGCTCATGGGTACTGTAGTGTTTGTAAACATGAGCCTGAATGATGCTGACATCATCAGGAGTTCTGTTAAAGAAAGGTGTGAACTCAGAGTCAGTCTGACAGTAAGGTGACCTTTAGCAGAGGGTCGGCGTGCTCCAGGAACCACCCGGCAACAGCGTGACCAGCCTCGTGATACGCCACCGTCTTCTTCTCTTCCGGCTGCAGGACCTGAGTCTTCTTCTCCAGACCTGCAACACAGACACGTTCAAATAGCAACAGCCGCCGGCAGCCAATAAGATCTCTTCATCTCAGTGACATCACACGTGTCTGACCTCCGATCACTCTCTCGATGGCCTGCTCAAAGTGTTTCTGGTTGATGGCGTCTGAAAGGTGGCGAGCGGCGATTAGAGCTGCCTCATTACAGACGTTAGCGATGTCTGCGCCTATCAGACAGAGAGCAGGGAGAAGTGAGGCAGACTGAACTTCCTGCTGTCTGACGGAGAGAAGGTCACACAGGTGTATTTACCTGAGAATCCAGGTGTGAGCGCCGCCATCTTCTTGGCCAGAGCGTCTTTGTCCAGCTCGCTGTCCAGCTTCAGAGGACGCAGGTGGACTTTAAAGATGGACGCTCGACCTTTGATGTCAGGAGGACCTGAGACAGTGGCGGCAGGTTCACTGGTTATTATCAAAATAACAACAAAACATCATCATAACAAGATTATTGATCACTGATTCTGTGTTTACGGATCAGAAAATCAGCTGCTGTCAATCATCAACTGTCCAACTGATTCATTAAATGTCTGAAGGTTTTATCATGTGATGATGTCATAATATTAATGAGTTTGAAGGTTTAAAAACTCAATCATCATTTTCTTTTTGAAATCAACAGCTTCATGATCTCGTCCCTGATCGTCAGTGATTGTTCCTGATCGTCAGTGATCATCAGTGATTGTCCCTGATCGTCAGTGATTGTCCCTGATCGTCAGTGATTGTCCCTGATCGTCAGTGATTGTTCCTGATCGTCAGTGATCATCAGTGATTGTCCCTGATCGTCAGTGATTGTCCCTGATCGTCAGTGATTGTCCCTGATC